AATGGAGAAATAACACAGTTTTATTTGAAAACGAAGGCCTCTGGTTAGATAAAGGCCTCACTCTCATATCCAATCAACTTAACCTCATCTCAAGAGTGAAGGCAGTCAACAGGAAATATGAAGAAATACAACTCCAGAGAAAAGTTGAATCCTTGGAGAATAAAAATGTGGACTGTCCCTTCTCCGAAGTCCTTAACGCCCGAAGAAGGAGCAGGGTCCTACAGCAATGGCAAAATCTGCAGATAAGGGACCACAACTTGTGGGCCAAGTACCATCAAGTGGATAAAATCCTCCACACGGACAAGCTGACCAATAAGACATCCAATGCAGTTCGACAACTGAACAATAACACACTAATCACCCTTCTTTCTCACCCTGATGACCCCAACCAACCACCAGCCAGAGACTCTAACACCCTTTGTGAATACGTTAAAATATTCTACGAACACCTACTAACATCCGAACTCCCCCCCTCCTCCCCCATTATACCTCCCCACCTAGAAAATTTTCTATGGGGTAGCACTAAACGAATTCTGACAGACCTGGAAACATCCTCCCTGGAAAACCATATCACCATGACGGAACTTACTGCGGCAATGAACAGTATGGCCGCTGGTAAGTGCCCAGGCCCAGACGGCCTCCCAGTTGAATTCTACCGCAAATTCTGGACACTTCTAGCCCCGGACCTACTGCGAATTTTCAACCGGATTCTCTCCAGTCACGCTCTCGGGCCACGGACAGCGGAGGGTATCATTACCCTCCTCTACAAGAAGGGGGATAAGTCTGACGTAAGGAACTACAGGCCCATCTCCCTCTTGAACATACATGGGAAGATTCTCGCAAAAACCCTGGCCCGACGTATTAACCCACTGCTAAACAATTTAGTTCACCCTGATCAATCCGGTTTTGTCCCTGGGAGACAAGTACTGGACAACGTGATGACCATTTCCCAATCTATTGATTGGATCAAGCATCACAAGCTGAATGTAGCGGTGATATTGATAGACTTCCAAAAACCGTATGATCGGGTAAACTGAGATTTTGTCCAGGCTACGTTGGAACGAGTAGGTGTAGGCCCAAACTTCAGGAAGTTCACCAAAGCCCTTTACGGAACCTCGACAGGGAGAGTACTGGTGAACGGTCACCCCTCCTCCCCCTTTCGAATCACCCGTTCCCTCCGGCAAGGTTGTCCTTTAGCCCCCTCACTATTTGTTATCCAGCTCGAGGTCTTCCTGAACATGATTCGCCATCATCCAAACTACTCTGGTCTACAACTGTCCCCTTCCTATTCCATCAAGGTCTCTGCGTTAGCGGACGACTTTTCTGCTCTATGTGAAAACTCCATCACTTCCCTTTCTGCCCTGGAACAGCGCCTATCGGTATACGAAACAGCCTCGGAAATGAGAGTCAGTTGGCAAAAGTCAGTTGCTCTCACCTCCGAAGGCCAGCCCCTGGCACTAGATTTAGGCATCCCGGTACGTACAAAAACAGACTCCGAAAGCTATCTGGGGGTCCAAATTTCCTTTGGAGACCCCTCTGAAACACAAGCTTCAATCATAGAAAACAAGATCCGTGATACTTGCTCCTCTTGGTCTAAAACACGTTTCCTGTCATTATTTGGCCGAGCAATGGTTATTAACACTTTCATCTCCTCAAAGATTTGGTACATTCTGTCTATTCGCCCCCTGCCTCCGAACTCAGCAACTAATATTAGAAGACTAATTACTTGCCTGCTATGGAAAGGTAATTCCGAATCTGACTCAGCTCTCAGCAAGGTAAGCTGGAATAAAATAACAGAAAAAAAGAAAACAGGTGGTCTGGGTATTCTTGACCCTGCCACCCAAAACCGAGCCCTGCTGGCCAAGTGGCCTGTTAGAGCGCTAACTGCAGCAGAGAAACAACCCTGGATATCTTGGCACAGCACTATCTGGCAAAAAAGTGGCTCCTTTCTGATCCTGAGGCAGTATGGCATGCCTTACTAATGCGCCCCTTTTCCTCTAAACCAGTTGGCGACACGTGGAGCGGAATCCTCATAGAATGGGGTAAAATGTTGCCCCAAATACTAGAGGAGCCCTCTACCAGAACGGAACTAATGAATACATGCCTCTTTGAAAACGCAGCAATCAGAGATAAGGCCGGACTCCCCTTCTCAGTAGCCAAGACCCCGGGCAATTTTGGTCTCAAATGGATGCAGAGAGGGATTTGGCTGATTCGTCACATCTGGGATACTGAGCACAACACATGGAAATCAGCAGAAGACCTACGACCTCTTCTCATGGGTCTTCACAGAACAGAGGACCACCTCGCGGCAATTATACAGGCGATCCCCCCAGAGTGGACAGCTACGCTCACCACTCCGGTCAACACTTTCAAGGAACAGCAATGGTTCAAGTCACTCTCACCACCAGACACCTACCTCAGAGTGGAGAAGATCAACGATGACGGCACACTTGAAGCTTCAGAATGGACGCTGAAGGACTCCAAACTCGAACAGTCCAAAGATGCACAACGAGCCGATCTGACCGGCTTGGAAGAAATCACGGTGCAACAGAAGAAGGGCCCAGGGGGCACTGCCTCCTTCCAAGTGATACTACAGGCGATTCCGCTCAAGGAATGGAAAGTCAATATCTGCAGTTACGGCTGGATTCTGTCAGATACCAAAGGGGCCCAATCCAAGATTCCGATCTCAGAGTACTCAGCCAAGATTGGTTACGCTCTTCATTCACAACCACAGGCATTGCAGGCGGGACTGACTCTCAACTGGCAACACAGGATGTCTTCGCTAAAACTTCCCCCTTTCTCAATGGAATGGCTAACTTTCTTTATTCATCTCATTCTCTCCACTTTAGAAACTAAAGTAGGAGGTTTGCAGTGGCTTCATTTACACTCTTGTGTCCCTACTGCAATGTGGTGCTCACAAAAGGGAATGGAGATCCCTACAATCTGTGATATATGTCCCCATCAGTCACTGGAAGATTGGTTGCATCTCTGGTGGGAATGTGTGATAGCCAGGGGCTTTTGGGACTTTCTTAACAGAATTTGGTACCAGGCCTACTCCTTGGAAAATTATTGGAACCAGGACCTTGTGATCACAGGCAGAATTGATAAACAGTTTCATAAACAACAGATAGGCCAGCTCTCACCCTTCTTCAGAAACAGGACCTTCTGGTCATTATGGATGGCCAGGCGAGATTGCAGATTCCTTGCTACCAGAGCCCCCCTCCCTTCACTTTTAGCTCAGTTCAAGCATGCGATGAGACTGGACATCATGGATGACTGGATTAAGACCGTAAATAGTACAGCTTCTCATGAGATAGCGAAAGCTTGTTTCCAAGCAAGATGGTCAACTCCCTTCCCCTGGGCGGACATATTAGATGATAACAAGATTTTCTACTCAGAGCTACTGTGGGACCATCCCCCCACGGGGCCCTCAGTCTCCAACAGTTAGAGTTTTTAATACTACTTTTAATATTCCTACTTACGTTCTTTTCTCATGTTCGTTGGTTCAAGCCACCCCGGGTAGACTGTGGGGACCCCGGCCCCAATTACTACTTCCTTTATAAGGGACGCTGGGCCCGTTTCCCAGCACGTGTTGCTCCCCACAAATAGAACGGAGCCCTGTCTTTCAAAAAAAAAAAAAAAAAAAAAAAAAAAAAAATTAGCCTTTTTTTTTTTTTTTTTTTTTTTTTTAAATCCTTCTGAATTTTTTGAAAAAATATATATAAAAAATCCTTGTGAACTGTATTCTGAGAAGACTGCTCTATGAGTAAGGCGGAGGGTGTTCTTGTCTGAAAACTTGGGTCTTGGCCCTTGGGTGAGGAGTGAATTGGTTGAATTGCCTAGGGAGGGGATGGGAGTGTGGAGAGAGAG